TGGTACTAGAAACACTGTTGGCAACTCCTAAAGATCTCTATTTCCTCCCTCAAGTCTCTTGCCTTTTCCCTCGGGGCATAAATAGAAGCCCTGGGCAAAGAGCATCGGGGGAATCCCACTGCCTGTGCATGGGGAGAAGACCCTCCTATGTAATTGGATGTTGAAAAAGAAAATCTCTTTAAGTTGGACACAGGCTATTGGCTGAAGTTCAGCCACATACCTGGTCTAAGCTGAATTTGGGTATAGCCCTAATAATTACGGTTACTCTTCAGAGAAAGAGCCCAAGAGGTTTACCTGGAGATTCGTTCCAGATGTAAGCAGGTATGTGAGGAGCCTGGTAATGAAGATGTGAACCGGATGAGGCCATTTTGTGCCCCCCAGCCTTCTCTGCAATCGATCGAATGCTAGGAGATGTTCCCCAGCCATCTAACAAACACCAGATGCCTGGCCAACCTCACAGCCTAGAGTGTTAAGGAGAGGTGGGGGGGGCAGAACCCCAAATCGGAATGCCTTTGCAGTTATCAATCTGTTACGCATCATAATCAAACAGAGACAATTCTCTTTAGCCCATGGTTCCTGGGATAGATCCTTGTGTGTCCCACACTCACATGCTGTTTCTCTCTCATTGGCAGAGTGTGATAGGTCCTAGTGATGCTGGGAAGGGTGCCCATCCCCACTCCATCACCTGGACAGATCATTGGGCTAGCTTTCCCAGGAACTGGATGTTTTGGTCATACTCATTTCCAATGTCCCCTCTATTCTTCCTTGTTTCCACTTAAGTTCACATGTGGCCGTTTCCTATAGCAACCAGAATTAGGAGAAGTAGTCAAGACACCCCCTGGGGCAGGGGACACAGTATTTGTTACCAAGTACTTCACTCTTTTAGCTTCCTCTGAAATAACTGTCACACCACAGGATATATTTGGAAAGAAAATGTTTTCATTGAACTTGCGATAAATAAATCATTTAAAATTTCTATCCTTGGGTCAAGTCTACCAACAACTGAGCACGAAGAATAATCAGTAAACTACACTGGACTGGGCAGTAGGGGACAGAGCCTTTGAGGTCACATGGACTTGAGCACCATTTGTGATTGGCCGTGTATTATTATTATTATTAGCAATGTGACATATCTTGTTTTGGCTTTAGTGGAACAGCTTTAAGAAGACCACCCATCTCCTATTGGAGGTAATGAAGCAAATGGTTGACATAGGGATTATTTGACTACGGTGCCGTTAAGGTGAGGGTAACCTCCTATGTTAACACTGAAGTCCTTAGGAATAAAACCCCATCTCAGTCCTTACAATTCTGTTAAGCTGTCTGAGACAGAATCTTTCTTCTTTCACTTTGTAGTTACATTTCTTCACCTTGTCCTGAATGTGCTGGTTCAATCACTACTTGACTTGCCCTTCGTGAAACCTTGTCAAGGTGCTCTCCATGTCTGGGCGGTAGATAGTAAGAACATGTTTGTGTTTGCTGGGAGTCTCAAGATGAACATTCCAGGGGAGGGCTTGGAAACCTTCAGATAACAGAGGCCCCGTGGGCTCCACAATTTGACATTAGTATTGTCTATAATCAGATTAAAAGTCTGGAAAACTGTGTGTGGGGTGAGGGTCTGACTTGGTGTCTGTACAGGTGAGTTTTATGTCAACTTGACATGAGCTAGAGTCATTTGGGAAGTGGGATTGAGAGACTTGCTGTGGGATGGTCTGTATGTCAAATGTGTTGCTGATTGGTCAATGAATAAATCACTGATTGGTCAGTGGCCAGGCAGGAAGTATAGGCGGGACTAACAGAGAGGAGAATTGAGAGAACAGGAAACTGGGTGAGAGAGACACTGCCAGCCGCCATCAGGACAAGGAAGATGTAAAGTACCGGTAAGCCACAAGCCACGTGGCAAGGTATAGATTAATAGAAATGGATTAATTTAAGCTGTAAGAACAGCTAGCAAGAAGCCTGCCACGGCCATACAGTTTAAAACCAATATAAGTCTCTGTGTTTACTTGGTCGGGTCTGAGCGGTTGTGGGACTGGCGGGTGACAGAGATTTATCCTGACTGTGGGCCAGGCAGAAAAACTCTAGCTACAAATGGCGCCACTAGACTGGCCTGTGAGCAAGTCTATGATGTATTTTCGTAATTAGTGAGTGATGTTATAGCCCTTTGTTGGTGGTCTCACCCCTGGACAGGTGGTCCTGAGCAAGCCAGTAAGCAGCGATCCCCCATGGATTCTGCATCAGTTCCTGTCTCCAGGTTCCTGCCCTGACTTCCTTCCATGACAGACTGTGATGTGGAGGTCTAAGAGAAATCAACCCTTTACTCCAGAAGTTGCTTGGTGTTTTATCACAGCAATAGAAACCCTAATTAAGACAGTTCCAAACTCTAAGGTGTCTGTAGCTTTGACCCATAATTGTTGCAGAATTTTCTATGGTCACATGATAACTTTTCTGGTATTTGGGGTTGAGAGGCTTCACAGTTTGCCTGGTACAGGCATTGCCAAGTTGATCTCTCTCAAGGTTGGCCTAGGAGACGACCAACCTCTGAATGGGGCGGGGCAGAGTACATGTCAGAATATTCTTTGGTAGCACATGGTACTTCTTCAAGTCCCATGTCAAAATAATGAAATATCAATCAGCTTTGACCAATACAAGAAACAATGGCTAGGATCAGTACTAGGTGCCTTTGAGACTGTCCCATGGATAGCTTGTACATTTAACCCTCAAGGGATATCAGTTGTCTTAGTTAGGTTTCTATTGCTGTAAAGAGACACCATGACCACGGCAACTCTTATAAGGAAAACATTTAATTGGTATAGCTCACTTACATTTTCAGAGGTTCAGTCCATTATCACCATGGCAGGGAGCATGGCGGCGTGCAGGCAGACGTGGTGCTGGAGCTGAGAGTACTGCATCTTGCAGGCAACAGGACATTGACTAAGACACTATATGTTTTCCTGAACGTAGGAAACCTCAAAGCCCACCCCGACAGTGACACACTTCCTCCAACAAGGCCACACCCACTCCAACAAAGCCACACCTCCTAATAGTGCCACTCCCTATGACATTATGGGGACCAATGACATTCAAACTACCACACCAATATCGTCTAGAAGTCATTTTATTACTGAACTTTGGAAAATGTTAAAAGTGTCTATATATGATGTTTGAATGAGAATGGCCCCATAGACTCATCTATTTGAATGTCTGTTTCCCAGTTGGTGGATCATTTAGGAAGGATTAGGAGGTGTGTCCTTGTTGGAAAAGTTGTGTCACTGAGGATGGGCTTTGAGGCTTTAAAAGCCCTTGCCAGGCCATCTCTCTCTCTCTCTCTCTCTCTCTCTCTCTCTCTCTCTCTCTCTCTCTCTCTCTCTCTCTTTCCCTCTCCCTCTCCGCCTGTGGAGCAGGATGTAAATATTCATCTACTACTCTGGCAACGTGTCTGCCTGCCATGCTGATCATGGACTAAACCTCTGAAACTGTAGGCAAGCCCCCAATTAAATGCTTTCTTTTATAAGCTGCCTTAGTTTCTGCCAGTGTTTCTTCACAGCACCAGAACAGTAACTAAGACTGTGTGTGTGTGTGTGTGTGTGTGTGTGTGTGTGTGTGTGTGTGTGTGTGTGTGTTTCCTTTATATATATATATATGGTAGAGATAGTACATAGTACCTTTGTAGGACTCTCAATGGCGTAGGTACAGGAAAAACAAGGGGTGGAAAGACCATGTATGGATACATGCATGAGGTTTGTCATCTAGTTCAGAAAAGTTACTGGACTGAACCCCGCTGTAACAGCCTGTGGCTCTGGAAAAGCCTGCTGTACTCCGCTGGTTCAGCCAAGGATGCAGGCGGGAAATCGAGAACCACAGCTAGCTGGTGAAGACATGTGAGGGGCAAGGAAGGGCAAGAGCAGTTACAGGCACGGGGGCTTGGCTGCACCTTCACACATTGGCTCCAGGAGAAGAACTAGTTGTTTTTGAAGAGTATAGTTATAGAAGCTCATGGACGTTTGCTCAGGAGAGGTATTAGGCAACGGTTTCCCAGAGCAAATGCCAGAACCACATGGAGGGCTTACTACAAAGCATGTTGGCTAAAGCCCCAACTCAGAAGTTTTGACGAGGCAAATGGAGCAGCTGCATTTCTAGTGAGTTCCCAGGTGAGGCAGATGCTGATGGAGGCCATGAAATGAGACATGCTGTGGGAGGTTCCCTGCATGAAACTGCTGGTCAGTGTTTGGGATCCCGGGAATATGACCTGGAGAACTGATTGAAAAACAAGTCTCCAGTAGCCCTGCTTTTCCTCTCAGATAAATAGGTCAATAAAAAAAAATAACAAAAAAACCTCCAAACATTTCAAGAACAAATAATATCAAAATCTATCTGTAGATGAGTTATTTTATTTTGGTTCTCAGAGACAAGGTCTCACATTGTAGCCCAGGCTACATTGGAACTCACTAGGTAGTCCAGACTGACCTGAAACTCAATGATTCTCCTGCCTCAGTGTCCTAAATTCTGGGATTACAGAATGAGACACTATTGCCCCATTTGTAGAGATGACTTTTCAAGGTAAAAATTAATCCACGAGCAGTGGAGACATCTGCACTTCCTCTTCCAGGGACCAGCCCTTGACATTTGTGCAAGTGTTGGCCATTTTAGCAGAGCCTAGGCAGCACGGCACCAGCCCTGCATTCTCATACCTGTAGTCCACGGTGGAAATTTCCGGAACATATTTTAACACAAACACACCCAGGAGCTGCTAAAGACTGCTGTGGGGAGGTAAAGGCTGAAGGAATGTACGAATGCCCTCCTTTCCCCTGGCCTTGAGGATTCTTAGAGGCTTTCTTGTGGCCTGGGGTACAAGGAGTCCCCAAATTCCAAAGGCCATAGTGGAAGAGAAGTCTCCTAGGGCACAAAGGGCAGATGTGCCAGAAAGGAAGCCTACAGTAGTCACTGCATGGTGGGCAGCCATACTGGAAAGTAAAACAGTCTTCAGGAAACAGAGAAGAGAGGCATTTTTATAAAGAAACTTTATTACCTAACTTCTGTATACGACAAATGTAGGAAAAGGTTTCATGTTACTTTTCAAAAGTTTTAAACTATTAGGAGAAAAGTTGTTAAAAAGCATTCTAAGCCAAGAGTCAGTCATACACAACCTTCAGAACAAATTGTACTAATTCGTATCATTTTTTTCATATCAAAAGCAAGGCGGTTTAGACAACGTAAGGAGGTTCCAACTGCTCTCTCATTTGCATTGAGATTTTAAATACCTAGAAATGAAAAGTCTGAGTCCACGGAACACAACTGATGTTGCTGCCTTCCAATCTCTTCGGGATGCTCATCTGGACACACTTCCTGCCTACCAGCAAGTCTCTGCATTGCCCAATGGCGCACTTGGAGCTGGGGATGCGGACACGGAAGACCATGCATCCCTGTGCTAAATGGCAGAACTCTCGCAGATCACATACACCTCACCACATTGCCTCAGTTCCCTGCACTCCATATCCTGAGAAAGTAAATCTAACCGCTCGACAGCTGACATTATTGCTCACTGACATTTTAGCAATATATTTCTTTAACGTTAGACAGAAATATACTGAAATCTGATACCACTTAAGCCCAAAAAGCAATCTGGAATTAAACAGCATACACACATCTTTCTTTCAATGGATATTATATATTTTTTAAAAGTTGGTGCTGGAAGAAGCTGGCTTTTGTTAAAAAAAAACAAAACAGTAACAGTTAGAAAGCAGGGTTCTTGTTATTATTATGGTCTGTGTGTGTGTGTGTGTGTGTGTGTGTGTGTGTGTGCGCGCGTGTGTGTGTACACGCGTGCGAGCGCGTTTAATGCTACAGTACTGTAAAAATGAAAGGAGAGTAAGAACCCAAAGTCTCTGGGGAGGAAGAAACTCCTCATTTATCTTCTTTTGTCGACTCCAACACTGTGGCTTATATCCAAGGAACCCTGGGGAGGCTACAGATGGGAGTGGGCAGGAAGGGCTGTGTGTGTCTCTGAAGGATAGATGCCAAGTTGTGCCAATGCCATGAGAGACCCATGTCTGTCCTTAGCAACCCTACATGGGATCCTTCATGGTGTTGCAAAGACTCCTACAGTAATCTGGATGCCTTGTCTTAAATCTTCCTCTTGTTTCTAGAGGAGAGCGAAACCTAGGAAGTCCGGAGTAGCCCTGGGCTTGGGGTGAAACATCTGGTTGGGCAGGGACTGGTGCTCAGGTGACTTTCCTGTGTGTCCCTGTTAACGTGAACTTCTCTAGAACTGTGGGACAGTGAAGACTCATCAGGATGCCAGGACCCCCAGGAGGTACCCGGAGAAGCCCAGAAGCTTCCAGACATGGGCATCTCACCTTGATTTGTCCCAACTTTTCCTGCTTGCTTCTCATTGTGTCTACAGCTGTCACATGTTCACCCTCGTCATTTGTCATTAGTGCTTATGAGGAAAGATGCCAGTCTCCACAAAAAAAAAATTAGAAACATAAATACCTTTTAAAGGAGAATTTCAGAATCAGCATTCAAAATCACAATGAAGATTTCTGAGATATGACACTCACACCTGGCTACAGTGTTTGGTAACATCTATCATCTTTGTTCAGCACTGTGAAAACCTCAAGCAACCATGCAGAGCTTCTCCAAGCAAAACTTGCCATATTGCTACAAGGAAGAAGTCTGGCTTTCAGTCTATCTGTTTCCATGCCAACCAACCGAATCCACCTCTGCTTCTTCCCATTGTGAATGCCTATGCTATGGCCTTCGAGGTGATTAAACCACATCATTGTGACTTTACAAACACTGATCTTAATTGTATAGCAATATAGTCATTTTGCCCTGAGAGTATCAATATATTTTATAAACATATGAGTCCTATTGCTTACATGAAGGTATAGGCACAATGAGGCTAAATGGCTTGTCCCTTGTACACACAGTGAAGTGTGGAACTTGGGCCTGACTATCCTGTCTTAATGCCCAACATCTTTCCACAGGCTGCCTGATGCTATGTATAAGTTTGGTTTAGGTGTGGTACCTGTAATATTCTATTGGCCTTTTTTGCACAGCATGGGATTATTTAGTACTCAAGACTTCATATTTAGTCTCTGATCTTTCTCTTTTCTACCGCCTTGATGAAGTATGTTGTCCCTCATATTTTATTTTGCACTGGGTAATCTTCCAAAATGCTCACCCAGATGTAGTTTTCATAGGTGTGGAGAGAAATGCTTATACAAAGGCAACAGGCAAGAATTCTTCTTTGTGAGCTTTGGACAAAACCAGGGTGCAGCATTTTACAGCTGTCTTGCATTCCACTATTGTCAATGGGAAATAATATAAAATAAAGACCTGCCCACGAGGTAACGTTTACGTCTCTGCCACAACCCTCAGAGAGCCCGCTCAGATCTGGCAACAATCTAACATAAGGAACGACTTTAGACCTTCACACCCTTTTAGTGAGAAAAAACCTTAGCTCAGACTTTCCACAGAGCCTAGAAATCTAAGACATCACTCCATCTTTATCATAAGGCCACATGTCTGGATGCCCTGGCTTTCCCAGCTCTGCTCTCTGCCCCTGAGCACCAGCTCTCTGATTTCTCCTGAGGAGACCAAACAGCCTCCACCTCTTAGGCAAAAGGGGTATACCCACCACAAAACCAAAGGAAGGTATGTGCTGGAAGAAAACAAAGCCAAGGCCACTTAGAAGCTTGTGGAAAAGCTCCACAAAGCTAGCTCCATTGGCAAGACCCACACATAGTTCTTGACCTCGCCAACAGCAGAATACATGGATGGGCAGAACTTCCATCTGAGAGAGAGAGAGAGAGAGAGAGAGAGAGAGAGAGAGAGAGAGAGAGAGAGAGAGAGAGAGAGAGAGAGAGAGAGAACAATTTCAATAGCATAAACTGCCCTTATAGCTTCTGAAAAAAATAACTCTGCTAAGATAAACCATTTTTTGGTTTTTCAATCAGCTGTGCATTAAGTACACTTTGTTCCCGCCACTCTCCCGGATTCTACAGCTCTGCTCTGTCTGCCGATGCTGGGCTGCCGTTCTCTCTGCTGCCGCCGCCGCCACCGCCTCCTTCTGCCTCACTGCTGTCTGTGGGCGCGAAAGACAAGGAGGCCGAATTGATGCAGTATCTTTTGCCGGTCGGACGAGGTCCATCATCAAAAATGTGCCCGAGATGGGCGCCACACTGCAAGAAGGAAAGGCTGTTTAAGGCAGACGCACGCACAGAGTAGGTTGAGGGGAATGCGTGGTAAGCATTTCAAGTGGAGGGCTGGCCTGTGTAGAAATGATGGAAAGCATCCTGGACCATTTCTAATCTGCCTATCCATAGCTGCTGAGACGGTTTCAGACAGGCTTTGTACCACATGCCGAGAATAAAAAACACTGAAATTGTGCGTATCAGAAATCCTTTTGGAGCCACTGTACATTTTGATCTGTGAACTCTCTCAGCCAGCTGGGAAAAGGCTGCAGCAATTTTTTTTTTTGAATTGAATTGACCCTTGATCTCCCCTTGTAAGAAACAGGGAAGAGTGAAATCTCTTCCCCCTGGCATGACTTTTGGCTTTGGATGGGTGGGTTTCAGATATGCGGAAGTCCACTGGAAAAGATACTGTTTAACTGGCCATGACAGAGGGCGATGGTTGTTTTCATGGGCAGTAAAACTTAACATCAGCACTGGATGCTCTTGGAACCCAGCGAAGCGGCGGCAAGACTCGGGAGATTTATGTCATGGTCGCCAAAGCTGCAAGTGTGTAGGTGGAAAGTCCCCAGGCCACACAGTTGCTTTTTCCTAGCATCCAATCGGTGGATTGTCACACTGCCCCACCCCCAAATGAACTAAATATGCAGAGAAGAAAGAGGCTGTTCATCAAAACACCGAGGAAAAGAGAGAGCCAGAGGGAAGGGCAGTCGTTATGCTGAGTCTAAAAGACGGGATACAGTGGCTGGATGCAGCTTCTCCGCAAAGACTGGCTACTGAATAAACACCTGTGCTCACTGTTTTGAATCTGAGTAGAGCTCTAGATGGTAACATGCACCACACACACATCTCCCATGTGTGTGGGACAGGGGAAGGAGATGGAGGCATCAGTGAACTGCCTTCAACAGGCTTGGGAAACAGAAGACTCGCTCATCATGCAGCCAAGAAGCCAATGGCTGGACTCAATGCTTTCCACTGACTTGTTTAAATGGCAACTACGGCACACCTGTGACGTGCCAGGCACTGCCCTCCACTCTGAAGACTCAGGCAACAATCCCTGGCCTCTGCACACTTATTTACCAGTGGGAGATACCAACAGTAAACTAGAAAATCACTCAAAGTGTGGCCGGTAGAAATGAGCCTAGGGGAGCAGATGGGGGTGGGGGGAGGATGTATCAAGGTGTCAGAAGGCCTCCTTGGTGGCTTTGGAAACACACGTGAGGGAAGTGACCATGGGAGGAAGGAGTGAAGATTTAGGTAAACGTTCGACAGGGCGGCTTATGGATGGTTTACTCTATTCCTCCCATTGAGAAGGGCGCATGGATTGATAAGGGACTGGGGTTGAACTACAAATGCAGAGGAGACAGAAATGATGGAGGGTTCTCATCACAGCAGAAATGCCTAGGTCCTCAGTTACTCCCTCCGAAGGTGCTAAGCTTGATCCAAAAGGGTCCTCTAGTCACCAATAACCAGCACCAACAGCAGCCCTGGCTCCTTGGCGTTTCCATGTTAGAGGGGCATCCTATATTACTGATAACATACTGTGTCCATTTATTAAAGAACTAAAAATGAACCCTGAACTGATTTGATCAATTGCCTGGAAAATATGAAACAGGCCTAAAAAAAAAACACCAAATCTTCCATTATTTTACCACATTCTGTGCAGGTTTAGGTAATACCGAAGATGACAGTTCAGATTGCTTTTCCTTTCTATAAACAACTGTGGCCAAATATTCAGGGATCAGCAGCTAAGATACAGAAGGAAAACTCCATATGCTCGCCCTGTGGACACAGGAAAACACCTATTTCTGCCTGCCACGGCATTCAAGGAGCAGGCCGACAGGAACGAGTATTCGCAGTGACTGATCTCATGTGCAGATCGGGCGCTTTGATCACTCAGCATCTGAGAGGGGAGGCCTGCACATAAAAGCCCGAGGTGGGGCGTGTGCACGCAGGCGTGCAGGTGTGCACGCGTGTGCATCAACAGTTATCGAAGGAACACAGCTTGTTGGGCAAAACAAACCACGCTGCTTCCATTCATTAACCGTCTCATACGAGCTCGCCTCCCTCTCAAAAAAGTGTGATAAGGACAGATTTGAAGCCAGTTGGAAGTTACGTGGTCTTCGCTGCCGACATGATTTTTTTTTCCAGAAAACCAAATGGCAGACATTCAATCTGTTGAACTAAGTTGATTTTCAATATGTCCTTTTGTCTGCTAACTAGTAACCGGTCCTCTGACTGAACAGAAAAGCAAGTTCCACTTTCAAAATGTATCCCTGATACAGGTAAAAGGTAAAGAGAAAAGACACAGGAGGCAGCAGCAGCTATCTGCCAGCAAACCACAGATGACGACGTCAGGGTGCCTGCCACAAGAGACTCTCTAGAGCAGTGGTTCTCAACCTGTGGGTCACCACCCCTTTCGGGGTCGCACGCCAGATATCCTGCGTATCGGAGATTTACATAATGACTCATTACAGTAGCAAAATGACAGTTGGGAAAGTAATTTTACGGTTGGGGGTCACCACAGCATGAGGAGCCGTGTCCAAGAGTGACATGGTTCGGAAGGCTGAGAAACCGCGGCCAGGCTCGCAGCACGCCCAGGCGGCAGAGAGTAGGGTAGCACAGGTGTCCACGTCTCTCTCTGCCACCGCACGGGTGCCTGCCATTCATGGCCTGCTGTCTTTCGGGAATGACTACCCACCCAGCAGGCTTCCTCTCAGGTATACAGGTCTGGGCATAAAGAGTACACAGGACAAAGGGAGCGCACATGGAGCCCATTCCCTCCAGCTTCTAGCCCCGCCGGCCCGAGTCTGTGATGATGGATGGAAGTTGTCAGTGATACATTGTTTCCTTAGCCGCCTGCGAGCTCTGCCTCCCCCGCCCCGGCCAATTGGCAACGCACTGGGATCACTCAGCACACATGGTAGTAACTGAAACAAACTGGTGGCCTGATGAAGAAATCTCGGAAACCTGCTGTTAGTGATTTCATCCAGGATAGAATCTCTAGAGTGTGTGTGCTTTCAGAGTTCTCTTCGTGCTTACGCAGCTCTTTAATTTTTCCGGGGGAAGACTGCACCTGAGCACTCTGGTCTTTATTCCAAAGGTGCACGTGAAAACAGTTCAAAAGGGAAAATCAAGTCTCTCGGGAGGTGGTGGTGGGGGGCGGGGGAGTCCGTCCTCCCTTGGGCTCACCATCAGGAATGTTCAGGAAGGGAGCCTGCAAAGAACCAGAGAAAGGGCCTCCTAGAGAAGAGACCAAGAATCCAGTTTAACTTGAGTCCTCAGAACCTGCCTGCAGGTCTCGACTATGGGTCTAAGAAACCCAAGCAGTGCATTCCCTAGAGTGGCACGGCACTGACGGATTTCCCACTGGGCGAGGGGCCTTTCTCCCCGCTGCTCCGGGATGCGTGGGCTTTTTGACTGTCAATTTCTCTCGAGCGTTTGATCTGCAGCAGGAAGAACTTTCAAAGCCAGGCTTTTATACTCGGGCACATGGGCAAGAAGAGAAAGAGAAGAAAAGGGTTTTCAAAAGAAAGGCAATTTACTCTGCGTTTAGTGCTGTTTCCTCCCATGGTTCCTCAGGGCACCTGTGTGCAAGAGGGGGCCCCCGTTTCTCCGGGCTTGCAATATTAATCTTTTGTCAAGGAAACGATTGTGAAGTCACCAGGTTAGGATTATGGTTTTACTGAAAGATCAAGAAAAAGAGAGATGGACTGCGAGTCTGAAGCCCCACCGTGACACCCGGGTGTCTTTAATCATCAGCAATATAGGCGTTGTCATCGGGAGAAGATTAATAAGGCTTAGAGTTTTACTGAAAATTGCTTCACTTCTGAAACGTTCTTCCTACTTGTGGATATTCGCCTTCCTGTAGATTTGGTTAATGAGGTGAATTAATAAATGATCTAAAACAAATTGAAAGGACTCTAGGCTAGGTGACAGCAGCAATGGCATCAGTAGCCAAAAGACTACAGCTTGAGTGATCTTGGTTTTGATGGTTTCCTTCAAGATTATTAAACCAAGTGAAGCCATGCATTAGGCCTGCGCTCACTTCAGATGGAGAATTCCAACCTGAATTTTTTCCGATATTGCTGGGATAGGCTGACTTCGCCGGACTATCACTAACTCTGAAAGTGTACCTCTTTGACTCACTTTAAGCCCCTGGCAGAGTGCTACTTACCAGCTGGAGGGGTTGGGGAGACCGGGCCAGATAAGTACTCCTGGAGCCTCTGAACCCAGAAGAGAAGCAGTGTGTCCCTCTGCGTAAAGGCAAAGGCCTTTTGAGGGCAGAGTCAAGCAGTCTGGTGAGGAGACATGGAGGGTGGAGGAGGTGGAAATGAAGAGTGGTGGGGACAGGTCCCTGCTAGCTCCCTATGACAACAGAGAGAAACCGTGTCCTTTGCCACAGGGCCAAGCGTTGGGCACCTTTTGTAAGAGGTACCTCATTTTGACTGTCTCTTTGGTCACCTCAAGACACCTTAATAAAGGCCTTTCCTTAGCTGTTACTAATGCCCCTCTGCCAGGCACAGGAACAGGAGGAAGATTATTGCAATCATGAATTATAGGAATTAGACACAAGCACCAGAAATGAGGGACTTGAGAGTCAGTCTCTCCTGACTCAGTTTCCCCATGCCTTCCTTTAAAAACTGTTTAGAGAACTTAGAACTTAAAATGTTATGAGCAAAAGGAAAGTAGATGTGTAGTAGCCTTTAAAGCGGTTTTTAAAAAGAGGGGACCCTGGTAAGATGGCTCATTTGGTAAAGTCATTTGCCACTGAGCCCCAGGGGAATCTGGGTTCAATCCCTGGAATCCACACATTGGAAGGAGAGAAATGACTTCTGCAAGTTGTTCTCTGACCTCCACACACACAGGCTGCAGTGTATATATTTGAAAGGGGGTTGCACATGCATGCACACCTGTGCATACACACACACACACACACACACACACACACACAGACACACCCCCTCGTATATATGAGAGAGAGCTATTAGCCGTAAGAGCTATTTACCTACACTACAAATTGCAGAGTACCATCCTGCTTCTATGACTATCTTTTGTCAAAAAATTTAGATGCATGAATAGGTAATTTCAGTTGATTTCTGTGACAGTTATTGCATTATCAATAATAATTCAATTTAATAAAAAACTGTATCACATTAAAGCAAATGCTGGGGAATCGTGAAGTTTTTAAACTTCTCTTCCAACGCGGCTTTTTGTAGTGACTCCCCTCCCCCATGCACACCCCTGTTCAATAGCATGCTCTGGAATCAGGTTACCTAAGTGCAAGTCTCAGCTCTGCCATTAGAGCTACACAACTTAACCCAAACAACTGCCTTCTCTGGGACTCAGTTTCCCCAACTGTAAAATGAGGAGAATAAGGTTATTATGTGCATTAGCCGGGAGGACACTAGAAAATGAGGCTGCGTAGGCGATGCTCGGTACAATTGAATTAGGGTTTCTGGGGCTCAAACCCAGCATGAGAGAGTTCCATTATCATGATGAGATGTATTTCTCAGAGTTGGGCAAACTAGAAACATGAGTTAAATAAATGAGGAATTGGGCTTTTCGGGGGGGGGGGGAATCTTCCTATGTGGAAGATGGTATACTTGATAAGCTTACTTTTTAACTGAAAACAGAAATGCTCAGCATGTATCATCTACATGTACGAAGTTGTCTAAGAACAAATTTAGTAATTAAAAAGAGAACACAAAAATTCATCAGATGGTGAGGTTCAAACAACTGTCCTTCCCTCTCAGCCATAAAAACACCACTTACTGTCTAAGAATCTTGCACCTGCTGCAGGTGAGAAGCCGGATAAAGGATAGGCAGATGAGTCCCACGGGAAGCCCACAGGGTGGCCACTCTGCCTGTGTGGCTGCCCAACAGTACCTCTCTCTCCTCATCTGTACAAAGACATCTTCCAGTCAGTACCCCAGTCCTCAGAACCTTCCTTTCACTTGCGGGGACAGATGCAAACTGAACTACCTCCTGGAGAGTATGCGGGGGCCCTTTCTCGGACGGCCATTTCAGCTCTGTCTCTTGTTACGCCACAAAATACCAGGAAGTTTCAGTCTCTCAACGCTTTCACTACTTTCACTTCCCTCTCAAAGCATTTTCACTTTCTTCCTTAGAGGGAGCATTAACTTGGGTACAGAAGAACGGGGCAGAACCGAATAGAGCATCATTGGAAATAGGAACACATACACACACCAGCGCGCACACAGAAAGAGCGGGCTGACGAGCCTACCACTGAACTTCCGCTTCTGATGGCTTCTCTCCAACCTCTACCCAGGAAAAGCCACGCCAGAGATCTTCACAGACTGCGCTTGGGTCACAGCCATTAGAGACATTACAAATAAAGACTGGGTAACAGAACTGCAGAGGAGAAGCTTTCGTTACATGAGCCTACGCAAGGCTAGACAGTGAAACCATCGCATACCCCGCAAATGCCCCGTTCACCACTGTGGTAGGTCAGATGAAAGAACTCCCCGCTACCAGTCAATGACTGTTCAATGTTACTGAAGCCAATGACTGACACTGCGCGAGTCTTGCTAGACATCTAAAGATGGAGGTGCCATTCAGACTTTAAAAGGGGTCCAGCATGTTTGTCTGTCCCTCTTGTGAACAGTCCCTTGGCCTATCCTTACTACGTGTAAGCACAGTGAGGAGCCCCGAATGTGTCTGCAGCACACAGTGGGCCCCTCCTGGGGATGCAGGTAGGGGTCAACTCACCTGAGAACAGCTTGTTTCCACCCTGTGTATCCCATGGGAAAAGTCGTCTGTGAACTCGATGGCCTCAGAACTGATCACGTCGTGAAAGGAAGGCCAACCTGGGTACAACAGGCACGTGGGCCCAAAGGGAGGAGACAAAACCTTGGGTTAGTTTCCAGTCTCAAGGACGATGAAGCAAGCAAAGAAAGCCTTGGCTGTGACAGCGCTAGGCTTCTTCAGCCTGGAAGACAGGGTCATACAATTGCATAGCAGTTTAACCCTTTCCTCGCACTGAGACAACAGCATAGCTGAGATGGTGTGTGTTTGTGTTTCCTGAGACAGCCTTGGCTTAGCTGGTAGTTTGAGAGCATTCCAAGATTTCCAAAGCTCCCCGTCACCACTTTCTCTTGTCTTCAGAGTCACGAGGCATGACTTAGAAGCACTATTAATCTTCCATTGTGGCATTTTCCAAAGCAACTGATTGATCCGGATGTTATTGTTTCCAACTATTCCAGACTTCTTTAGAACAGCATGTCTTTTCAATTCTCAGTTTTATATGGTTAAAATAAAAAGGATGGTTATCCTATTAACTAGCTCCATCAACTTTCTTTCTTTGTCTAAAGTATGTCTGGTACACAGCATGAATCTTGTGGGTGAACCTCTTGCTCATTTCCTAGGAAAAGTCCAGAGAACAGCATGCCCAGGCAGCTAGAGAGAGCACTATTTCTCAAATAGCACTTTTCCCTCCAATTTCCATGCATTCTGATCATTTCTTTAAAAAATCATATTTTAAGAAACTCTCAGTGAGCAGAGTACACTTCGAATACACAGTTGTGTTTGTTGGTTTTTTTGTTTTTGTAACATTTCCCCCAAAGATGTGCGAGGTCCTGAAGTTTAGTGAGGAAAGAGAAAAGAGGCTGCTGAGCTCCGGTGTAACTAGTGTTTTCTCTTTCCGAGGCCATTTGTTCCCACAGAAAGTAAGAGCCACTTAAAAACAGGGCGTTTCACTTTGATACACACCCTGAAAGGAAACGGCACGCAAACTCCAACAACAGGATTTCCAGTTTCCAACAAATTAGCTCCTTGCCAAGTTTTCCTCAGAAACTTGCCCAGACTCCTCATTCCCCAACTCCACAAGAGTGCAGGCTTTACAGCCATCGCGAAACTTAGCAGCAGGAGCTAAAACACTCTGAGTTCCTTTATGTGAACTCGGGACTGCTAACCACCAGGAAAGTCTTACCCTGAACATCTCACTGCTCCACTCTTCCGAGATTCGACTCGATGCTGTAAGCAACTCATTACCCACTGTGCTCTATAAACTCTAAAAAGACCTTGAACAAATGCTAGGCTGCACCATTTGGTTTACAATGACCGTTCCACACATGCAGGTGTTCTTTGTGAAACCACAGAAGTGCCAATTGCTAACGAGGGTAAATTTCATGGTGACACTTAAGGACATTGATAAATGAAGTCATTTATCTAGGGGGAGGAGGAAAATGGCGGTGTACTGTCCTTTTTAAACCTTGCATGGCATAACACATTGGAAAGCAGTTCAAGGCACCTGATATCAGCATGGGGGTGAGGAGGGGTGTGTAGAATCTTCGGCACTTGATTCAGTAGCACAAAGATAAAAGACGAGACTCCACATTTCCCTACTTCTAAAATTCAAGATAGGAACTGAGATATGGATGGGTCTCCCACTCCGTGCCACTCTGCTTTTTATACAGTTGCATCTTTCCTGTTTATCTGCTCCTGAGGTTTGCCAACTTTGTTCCATGCCTTCCTCCTGACTAGGGGGTATGTGCTTGAAAGCGGTCGAGACTCACTGTGGCCCAGCTCAGAGTAGAGCACGAACGCTTCCCAGTAAGCATAAAGCAAGGGGGTGAATGATTGAAGCAAATCACAGAGGCCTATGAGAAGGAGGAAATGAATATGTATGTGTGTGTGTGTGTGTGTGTGTGTGTGTCCTCACACATGCGCGTGCGCACACACTCCTTTCTAACACAGGGCAATAGCCAACTTAGCTCTGTCCCTGTGATGAAGATGAAGGTCTCTGCACAGAGAGGGAGGGAATTGTTTTATTGCGTACACGGAGCAGCAGAAACACGCTGAACATTTAGGCCACTCATTTTGCAGAACTCTTTGGGAGAGAGCGGAGAATACAGACGTGCTGAGTAGAGGAACCAAAGCTAGAATCGGAAAACTTGACATTCGCCTAAGACTCTGTTCTCACATCCCACCTATTCCTCTATAAAATGCTAAGCGGTCTTTCATTTGAACACACTACTAGGAAGGAGGCCGTGTGCTGTATGGAACTGGTTTAATGTCCCATGTCACTAGGTTAACCAGGACATGGACTTTGCCTCTGGAAGCCAATAATGAATGAATAACAAATACTAATTGTTTTCATATGTCACAACTATTCAAAGGGAAAAATCCAAAAGTCATGATGGGAGTGGATCTAGTACGGAGGCCATATACATTTCTGTTCACTTATTTAAACCACCGCAAAGACAGAGCAAACTCAACTCCCCCTTAAGCAACAGCGATGAGGAGACTTAATTATATTTGTATCTCAATTCAAGTGATCTGGTTGGCCATAAAGATGTGCATTTTGTCAACTTGAATTAAGCGTTCACAACATTTTCCAAAAGACCATATTCAAGAACAGAGCATGGTAAGGAGGGCTAAAAAAAAAAAAAAAAAAAGCAAGGAGGTTCTCAAATTCCATCGTTGCTGGGAAACTAATGATGTCTGAATAGTTTATTTGTTGTTTACTATGCTATGAACCTTGGAGAAGACACTAAAAATAAACCCCGTAAAGATATGTCAATACTTCTCCAATTTACAGTGTCCTTGGTCACTGTGGAAGAAAGGCAGCTTTACAAATCAGATGTTCAGTATGCCGTTCAATTCTCAATCAGTGGACAGCGACAAGAGAAACAAGCGTCACATTCCTGTGACGGATCACATTTCTAAAGAGGACGGTGGCCACCCTCCCTGGCGAGGCCGACAGAGGAGACCACCAGTTGTTGGGCTGAGTCTCTCGGACAGCGCATGGCACCAGAAACCGAATCCATCGGAGAGGTACGTCCTTGGCGACAATCACGCTGAGGACGACCATCACCCGGGAATAAATTGTCTTGTGACAGGGAGCCCAGAGTGATGACAGCGCTTTGAAAGCGGAATTCCCTCATCATGTGAAAGTATTTAAAGGAAGGGACTCTTCACTGCTGTAAAAATCCTCAAAGGAGACCCTGCCCCCGCCCGCCCGCCTGCTAATAACGAGGAAAGTGCTTCAAAGGGTGATAGGCAAAGACTGAAGCAATCTGCGCCTTGTTGAGAAAATTATCTTGAGCAAAAGGGAGGGGGTGGGGGAAGGGAAGTGTGTTTATGTCAGTTTTGACATTAAAGAAACATCATCTCTCCTCCTTTTTCTAGGCTTTTCCTTTTGGTCTTCCCATCCAACAAAACATCATTTGTTTTGGATGCGTTCCATGCACTTTTTAAAAGAAAAGTCATGTGAAAACCTGTATAAACAGTGGGCTGCCTCCACCCCCAGTCCGCCCCTTTGTCTCTACTTGATGAGGTCGGATTTGGGCCTATTATCATTTCATTTTCAAAGAGCATAAGCTGTGTTTTTTAGATCACAGCCTACTAGTATCAAGAACATCTTATTTTTAACAAATATATTCTCCCCTGGAGGAATTCTCAAGATAGCAAATAAACACAGCAACTATAAGGAAAACTGACAACTTGGACTACAACAATTCTGCCTTGATTTCATTCAACAACCAGGCCACGTCATCTGCAGTTGGGTCTTAAGTCTTCTTGTATGTAAGGGGCAAATTCAGGACATGCTCACTGACATCTCTGACCCAAAGCAAAGGATCCAAATTTATGTCACTAAGTTGTCCCTCAGTGGTTGCTCTCTACACTGCAACAGTCTTTTTTTAAATGACAGTAAGACGAATTATTCCACCCTTATCCGCAATGCAGCGTGACATAGTTGTTCTAAGTCTATTCCCCTTAGAACCCAACGGGGGCCTGATGCTCCTCAAGTAGTGTGGACAAAGTTGAGAGGTTCCACTTCAATGTCTTCCTAGGAAAAAACCTTCTCAGCTTCCCAGGCCTATCTCTTCCTCTTTCCTTTCAATCCTTTCAAAGATTTAAAAAAAAAAAAACTAATTGTTAAAATTAGCAACAGGTTATAAATAAGCTGAATGCACCATGTCCACAAAGTGTGACCCTTGTCCTCCATTCTTTTTTTTTTTTTTTTTTTTTTTGGTTTTTCAAGACAGGGTTTCTCTGTGTAGCTTTGCGCCTTTCCTGGAACTCACTTGGTAGCCCAGGCTGGCCTCGAACTCACAGAGATTTACCTGGCTCTGCCTCCCGAGTGCTGGGATTAAAGGCGTGTGCCACCACCACCCGGCTCGTCCTCCGTTCTTAACAAGGATGAGTATGCAGCGTCCACCACCCCTGAATTCTTCCCTCCCTGCTAAACCAGAGTGGGAATCTTAGTAAGGTGGCTGCATGATCAGTCAGTAGGCAACAGGAGAAACTTGAACAAGAATTCATTGAATCAAAAGGTAATTCTAAAATGTCATCTGAACATACACGAAGCCTGAACACGCTACATTCCAGTTGGTCTTGAGCGGTATTTAGTAATGACAGCTTTTATTGGGGCCCAGTTTCGGTGAAGATTCGTATTTTCAGTGTACACCAGGTCTCACAGCTCTGTCAGTCTAAATATCTCAAAGTGTCTAAGTGTGAGGTTTTCAAAAGCCTGAGTCTGTTTGCCTCCTTGACCACAGTTTATCTTCTCAGCTAGACCAACACAAAGAATAAGAGGCCTCCCGCTGACAAGGACTGTTCGGGGCTTAGGTCCCCAATCCTTGCCAAATTATTCACCAGAACAGACATTTGCAGTGTGACTTCTATCTCATTTTTAAAAAGGATGATTCTCAACTCTCCTTCAAAGGCCCCATTTGGTTGCAATCTAATCTCCCGAAAGCATGAGTAATCAACGAAATGGATGCATGTAGCGGAGATTCACAAGACAACGGCTTCTCATGAAATGTTTCCTCTCAATCCCCCACCTTCCTACAGGCAGCCATGA